TTTTTTCTATTTTAACCCAATTTGGCTTCGCCCCAGTGACTTGGGCCTTCCATATGACCAATTTTTTGTAAAACATATTTTGGGCCTTCGTATTATTCAGCGCTTGTTAGACCTTCTCTACCCGCACTGCAAAACGAAAAATTTGCACGAAAAAATTGCATACGACGCCTCCAATAAATCCGATGTCAAATTTTGCGTCCGAACTTTTTTTTTTCAAACTCATCCTTTATCTTTTATAAATTAAAAAATGAAATTTACTTTTTTTAATTTGTTTTTAGTTGTTTATTGTAAAATATTAAAATAATCTTATAGATTAGCAAAATGAGTTTCACAAAAAAATTATATTTTTTTTATTTTTTATTTCATGAAAATTAGATAATATGATATTTAAATAATGATTATCATATTATTTTATAGTTGTTCACAATAATAGTGAAAATATACATATTAATTTATAATCTTCACAATAATAGTGTAATATACTAAAAAAAAAACTTAATTTCATAATAAAATCGTTAATTTCATTCAAAAAGTTTATTTTAAACTATTTTCAATTATCACCAAAAAGTAGAGTGCAAGTGCAATTCATTAACTTACTATTTTGCTTTAACAAGTTGCAATTCTCATAAACTTTTTTCTTAAAAAAATGGGTTATTATTGAATTATTTTGAATATATATGAACCAATGTCAAGTTATCCATCTATATATATTGAAAGATGTTAATGAAATAATCTAAAATAGTAATTTTGACTTTGTAATTAAATAGGTTGACTTACTAATTACTTTAATATTTATAAAAAATAAAAAACAAATTATACCTACATGGTGTAAATCGTGCATCCCGGTTAATGGCACGATCTTTTATATAAATAAAGTGACATCAATTTTGAAAATGATTTTGTGATAATTATTGCAATAAAAATTGGATTATTCATTTTAATCATGAATTACTGCAGTTTCTTATTCTTATGGTAAATAACCATACAAAATATCTTCAAAAAGAATTCTATTAAATATGTTTTGTTTTTTAAAACTAATATTTGAAAATTATGACAAAGTTGCAAATATAATTATAAGAAATACAAATAAAAATTCACTTATACAATTTTTACAGTGATATTTATCACAATGTTACAACAAAAATCTTATTTATCAACATTGATAACATATTACAGTGATTTCTTATTCATTGGATAACCAACCATTACCAAATATTTTTTTTGTCGTATCTTAAAAAAAATCTTTTAATCAAGAATATTAGTTTAGAATCATTTGATTTATGAATAACTCAACCAATTCAACTTTTAAAAAATTGTAAATGCAATTTTGCATTATCTAAATAAATTTAACTATTTATGATTAGTAATAAATCAATATTTATAATTAATAAGAAATCATATGTTATTCTGTTTTATTGGGTATCCAGCCATATAAGCACCGAAATATTAGTAATACCATTGCAAATTATAAGGACAAACAAATTTTAAAAATCAATTGCGAAAATATTATTGATATGACTACCACGATAATACAATAGAATTTGTATCTCAATATTAATAACAAATCTCCCCAATTTTCTATTCATTTTGTAACGAACTATATACCAAAAAATCATCTATTCAAGTATTTCCAAAAATATCATTTGATTTTATCAATAATTGCACCAAACCACTTTTTTTAAAATTTATATTGCAGTTCACAGTACCGTAACAAAACTCATATAAATTAATAGATTAGAGAAAAATATTAAAATATTTATAATGTACATTATTATAGTTATAAGAAAAATCAAATAATATTGACGTAATTAAAAGTTAAATAACTTTTTGACTTCAAAATAATACATATTACAAAATTTTTCAATTAATTGTTGGTTATAATATATATTATAATAAAGTATGAGTAAAGGAAGATAGAAAGAGATAAATATTATGCGTGTATTATTTATAATTATATTTTAGTATGTTAAATTTTCATTATCTTTAATTATAAATAGGAACTCTGAAATGAAAACTATTTCATTACGGGTGAAATAAACATATAAATCATATATTACATTATTATATATCATAAAATAAAATAAAAAAATTAATATTAATATTCAAAACTATTTGTATAATAATCAATATTCTTTCATTACTTTAATACGTGCAATTATAATTATTGTCTCGTGTATCGCACGTGCTACGTACTAGTTTTACCTTAATGAAAAGTTGAGTTTTCTTTTTTTTTTACAATAATAATAATAATAATTCAATATCAATGTAAGGCTGTTATACCTATATGACTCAACGATATTGATCGTCATTAAAGAAAAGACATTATGGTTGAGTCGAACAAAAATGTGATTAAGTCGTACGTCATCTTTTTATTTTTAACCCAATACGTCAATTTCTATAATAATAATAATTTTTATTTTACCTTTTTAGCTAATTAATTGATCACAATTCATTAAATTCGTAAAAAAAATTAGTTTTCAGTACTAATTTATACATTGCATAGAGTGATTCACATATAAGTAAAATAGTTTATAATAATAATTTTATTTCTCCTAATATTCATATTTATTATATGTGATACTCATTTTCTGATTTAAAATTTCAAATATAATAATAATTATACATATGTCTTATAGTATTTTTCTTTTAATTAGAGATATGTGCAATATCGACTAATGTTGGCCCCTCATGAAATTTCAGATCCCGCCCAACACTCCATCTTCCATTTCTCCCCCAATTCCCATAGTCTCCATTCTGAGGCTCCGGCCACTTTATAGGGAACCTCCGATGATGATGGAGACCAGAAATCACTGAAATTCTTCTACGAACCTCTTTCATTCCCTCAGCTTTTGAGCTCGAAGAAAACGTCGAATCATGCAGCAGCCGCAGCCGGAAGCGTCTAGAAAACAGTTGCCCTACACTTCCATGACGCCGCCGTCGGGAGGAGGCGGAGGTGGCTATGGATATCATAGATTTCTCGCCGGAGAGCTCCAACGCCGTGATCTGGATCGGGAATTCGAGGAATTCATTGTTGTCAAGTCGCCGCCGGTAAGCTTTTTGTTCTTGCTTTCATTTTTCTTTGTTCACTCACTCACTTTGCGTGGAATGTTTCTGGCTTATTTTCAGTTGCTCTTGTCGGGAGATTATTGCCGGTTCTGTATTCTGTAGGGTTCGAGATAATATACTTATTGAAATTGATTAAGTATGGCTATTAGAATTGATGAATGACGATTAGAGAGATGGACTATAATTATATATGTACTTGAGGCTGTCAATTTGTTTGGCCGACTTTAGCCAGAAGATTACGTTTCTCTTGTTATGTGTATGCAGAAATTTCAGTGAGTTTGCTTTTCAATCAGAATCTAATGAGTGTGGGAAGACTTATTTGTGCTGATGAATTGCATGAGTTATGTTCACTTAGGTGTTTTCTATGTTGCCGTTATTTGGGTTCTGCATTTTACAACTGATGGATCTTTCAAGCTTTAGAAATGTATGTTAATCATTAGCGACAATGCGTAAAGCTTGATATGTCTAGGATTAAATTGGTTTGTGTTCTCTGTATGTTAAATTTTGTCATGCATAGTTTTGTAATACGGGTGTGAATAAATTATATCAATGTCCACATTTAGTTGATTTGGTGGTCAAATTCTCATTATTTCTATAACTTGTGTCTTCTGTGAGTTTGGGTACCTGATTGTTTCAGTATAATTACCCCATAAGTGTGTTAGCTTTTGTCATCCATTTTTTATTTTTTTTTTCAATCAAACATACTTGATAATTGATATGAGATATATTACTTGTTATGTGTAAGTAATACTTTTTATTTGTCTGCAAAAGCCGTCCAAGAGGAAGACTGGAATGCTCGAGTATGAAACTGGACCTGCCAATCAGAACGTGGGTCCCTTGCGGACACCTGTGTCAGGAAAGGCAGGAAAAGCCCAATCTAGAACAAGTAAGGCAAACAGGGCAGGCTCTCAAACTCCCTTAGCAAATATTGGTGAGGATCAGTGTCATTAGATTTTAGGGTATCCTCTATCTCCCCCCTCCCCCCTCTCTCTTTCTCTCCTGAGTCCTGATGAACATCAATTTATTTTTGCAGGTTCCCCTGCTGGCAACAATCTCACTCCCAATGGTACCTGTCGCTATGATAACTCTTTAAGTAAGCAATATACTCGGGAGATTTTGTATTTATATTTACTTCTCCTATATTTTCATTTGAAGCATCTTTTTGTTATGGAATATGGATAATCCATTGTGTTAAATTCTAAATTTTGATTTGGTCCATAAAAGGACAAACTCATTGAACTGTGTCTTTTGTCCTCAGGTCTCCTAACAAAGAAATTCGTTAATCTGATAAAACATGCAGAAGATGGTATCCTTGATTTAAATAATGCCGCAGACACATTAGAGGTGATTGCACCTGTCATTTGGTGCTTCACTTTTGAACGGGTGTTAATGGCTGAAAGATTTTTTGTCTTAGTTAATTATTTTATTTTCCTCAACAGGTCCAGAAGAGGCGCATATACGATATAACTAATGTACTCGAAGGCATTGGTCTTATAGAAAAGAAACTCAAAAACAGAATCCAGTGGAAGTAAGGGCATCACTTATCTGATATAAATTTGTTTCGGATATCGCCACTATCTTTTCCTTGAAATAAATAAAAAATATTAGTTACCAATGGTTTAAAGTTGTCAATTAGGGGTGCGGATGTCTTCAGACCAGCTGAAGCCCAAGGCTGCCTTTCTGGTTTACGGGAGGAAATAAAGAACCTGAACATGGAAGAGCAGAGATTAGACGAGTGCATTAGGTCTAAAAAATTCCACGTCAACTAGAGTTTTTTCTTAATATTTGTTTGTTGGGTATGGCAATCTCCCGATTCCCCTTTTATTTATTTACTTGTTTATTAGCAGAGAAATACAAGAAAAGCTGACAGGCTTTAGTGAAGATGGAAATAATCAAAGGTGACACCGGTTTCTACCTGTTCACTGAAATAATACTTGTGATTCTAGTTTAGTCACTCCTAATTTGTATTTTTGATTTATCTGCCAGGTGGCTTTTTGTTACTGAAGAAGATATCAAGAATTTACCTTGCTTCCAGGTGCAGATATGTTTTCAATCAACCCACTGCTTATTCATCTCTGGACTAACCTAACTTTATAATTATCTGCTTTCTCCAGAACGAAACTCTGATAGCAATTAAAGCTCCACATGGCACAACTTTAGAAGTTCCTGATCCGGATGAGGTTAACTTTTCTTCAGCCATGCTAATTCTTTTTTCTTTTCTTTTCTTTTTTTTTTTTTTAAAAAATTTTTTGGTTGGGGTTGCAGTAATTTCACCATAAATTCTGGTTAATATTCGTACTGCAGACTGTAGATTATCCACGGAGGAGATATAGAATAGTACTTCGAAGCACCATGGGACCCATAGATGTTTATCTCGTCAGGTATATAAAAAAGTTCACTTCAGAATACTGAAATATGACTCCTAAATCTTCTTTATTTTGATTTTGTACAATTTAGTCAATTTGAGGAAAAATTCGAGGAGATGAAAGCGGTTGAGGCACAATCAGTCGTTCTCCAAACATCTAGTGTGAATGAGGAAGCTCCCACACATGCACCGACTGGTGAGATCACTGGACACGAAATTGATTGGCAGGGATTGAAAGCTCAAAAATCGACTTTGGAAATCAGTACATCACAAGATTCCGTGGGTGGGATGGTGAGGATTGTACCCGATGGTGAAGTAAGTCGATCACTTGAATCATTTAGAAATATCACTATTTTTAGTAACATCACTTAAAACTGTTTTGCCTGATTACATGATTTTAGTCAATCCTCTTCTAAAGTTATAAATTTCCCTTTTGATCTACGCTTCTCTTTCACAAATTGCATCCTACTGAGGAGCTAATTAATAAAACCGATTCAAACCTCAATGGGCTATTCCTACTATTTGTGGGTGGTATCTTTACTCCATTTTAGGAAATAATATAACTAATAAATGAATTGCATATAAGCTAAACCTTAGGAGTGGTAGCTAAAAATACTAGTTATCTCCAACACTAATGAAAGATGATATATTTTCTCGGAGGTCCATTATATTTACTATCTTAAGCGTTTCAAGTGTTTTCGATAGTGTTTATCCAATTGCTAAGGCTATGTTTTGTAACCAAATAAGCTAGCTTATAGCTTATTTGGTTAGCTTATAAGCTTCTCGTATTCAATTAAGTTTCGTTTGGTAGGACAAAAGCTCGAGCTTATCTCATAAACTTCTTTAGGTAGCTTTTCAAATAAGCTCGTTGAAATTTTTATTTCAGCTAGCTTATCACCTAATTTTACCAAACACTCTTATCATGTAAGCTAGCTTTTTAGGTCTTAAGCTATAAGCTCGAAAATCACTTATAAGCTATAAGATAGCTTATCAGCTAGTTTTACCAAATATAGCTTAAATGTCTTATTTTGTTTTGATATATCTTGTAGACGGACGCTGATTATTGGCTACTGTCGGATGCAGAAGTGAGCATAACCGACATGTGGAGAACACAATGTAACCTAAACTAACCTTTCTTCATTCATATTCATCAATTTATTATAAGATACTTTTTTTTTTCGGAACACTAAATTTCATGACTAAATACTACAAAGCTGGATTCGACTGGGACACTTTGAACACGATACCTGAAGACAATGCCACTGCTAACCTCAGTCCAACACGGGTTCAAACTGCACCGGGAGTTGACTGTAGAACAAGAGAATTTATCGCGTGCAAGAGTACAGAGACAATGCATCGTGATTTGGTGAAGAAAATGTCGTCAAACCCTGATTGAAGAATTCGGGTTTTGTCGAATAGAAAAACACAAGATGGGGAAGAATTAAGCTGTTGTTGCTTGCGTTTCATTCAGCAAAAGGCTCGTGTATTTAGTGTTTTCCCCTATGAGTTAATTATGTATTTTCCTTGAGATTATCAGAATTTAACTGATGAGTTGTAAATGGAGGTTGGCTCCCGCAATTGTAAGACAGGAGCAAATGGGGAATTACGGATAATGAAAAATACATGTTTGGAGAAATTTCAAAGTGGCCTATTTTCAGAATCAGATATTATGAGAAAATTGTTCAACTTTTTCCTGAGGATATATACATGTGTGAATAATTTTTATTTTTAGTTTCTCTGTTATGTATTATGATTTATTATCACGTATATATGCTTTTNGTACATATACTTGATAGTTGATTCCATCCTAGCTGGTATTGCTGATTTTTGTATGTCCAGCAAAAGAAATGTACAGTGTGCACAATAGATCTTAACCAATATTATTTGGTAATATCTCCCTATTGAAGGTATAATACGCTAGGCCAGTAAACGAGTTGAGCCGAGCTCAAGCTTGGGGTGCTCGACCTCGAGCTCGAGCCCTTAAAGAGCTTGAAATTGAGTTCGAGCTCGGCTCGTTTATCACTAATAACGAGACAAATTTGAGCCGAGCTCGAGTTTAATGAGCCCAACTATAGAAAATTATATAAAAATTCTCTTTTCGAGCATTAACAAGCCGAGCCATGCTCATTTAATTTAACAACACTAAGCAACAACAGCAATTAGGGCAACAGCAACAATAATTACTGCTCTTTATAGTGAAAAATGTGACCTTACATGATGGACAACTGAATGTATATATACATATATATCTAATATATATCTTAGTTCTCATGACCTTTTATCATTTGCCCCATCAACTTTTTTCCTGATCCAACTAGCAACGACAGGCGTAAGGGCCACAGTCGGCGGAAACCTAATTGGTGAAGCCGCCTTATGGGCAGCATAAGCCAACGCAAAAGTCCCTACTTTTTCACCCGTCTCGTTAGTTGAGATCCCAACCTAACAACATAATCGAAAGAAAAAAAGATCAAGAAACAAACAACTCATTGTCACTTGGCACTTTTAGCTTCAATGCATTATGAAGAGGAAGGAGAAAACGGTACCTTCTGCAGCAATGCCGGTACATCCACACCGACACTTATTAGAAAATAGCATAGCCCAAATGATATCAAAGAAAGGGTTATCGAGGTGGCTAAATACGCGCCTCCGTATTTTGCTAGGAGTTCTTTTGCTTGGTCACCTTTCGACTTTGTAGTAGTCTCTTTGTTTTCTTCGTTCGACGAGAATATCTGCATTCGTGCAGAATTCGCGAATTGAAATCAGAATATACAAATATGCTACAGTATAACTAAACAATCCGATCCTATGCCCGAAAAAATGTTCCAGTCCTATCAAGATTTACAAACAAGACCAAAGGGAATTGCAGCCACGACTCGAATATCAAAGGGTTCTAATTTTTCAAGTACATCACATTTGGGTCTTCAAAACACTGATGCCTACAGAAGGTGTTCTAACAAGGATTCACTATAAGATGAAGAAAAAACTATCTCTTGAGAAAAGATTCCTCTCATTTGCAAAGACTTGATTAATTAAATTCAAGAATCCAACTTTCCAATCATCTTTTTAGATTCAAAACCCATTTTCAAGAACCTGATAAAAGTAAAAATAAAATCTTTACCAAACACAAACCAAAACCAGTAAATTCAGCCACTAAGCAAAAAATCAAAAAAACATGCTAAATACAAAAAATTAATAGC